GGAGCCGGGCTGGGCCGGGCGCTGCGGGCTCGGCCTCTCCCCCGCCCGGCTGCGGACGTTAAAGGCAGCACAACGAGGCGGTGCCACCCGTGTGAGCTCCTGGTTTGCCGGAGGGATCCATCGAGACACGGGTGTGAGCTGCTCTCCCGGCGGAGGGTGTGACTGCGCTTGCCCGGCTGCTCACACCCGTGCTGCGCTTTTCTGCACTTCCTAAATCTAGAAGTTTCCTGGTCCCAGAGCTTGTTTCTACAGGCACTTGGTGTGTAACTGGGTTGCTGCGTGGATACACTGAGCTGGGCACTGTGGCATAAACCTTTCCCTCTGAGTGGCCTATAGGTGATACTTGGAGGATTCATCCCCTAAAACAAATGCAAAGATGCGGTTATTTCTAATTTTTACAAGTACAAGCTTAGGAGAAAAGGAAGAGTGGCAAATCCATCTGTGCTGACAGGTGAACATGGCAGATCCAGTGAGGCTGCCACAGCTCTGGCCCCAGGTCCAGTAGCCAACAAAACCCATGTTAGGAAACTAAATGCTTTGCATAAACTTGACAGATACTGCAGTTTCATTCTAGGAAGTGTCCTCTCTTGTGAAGGAGTTGACAGCAGTGCATCTTCCTGGAGGTGTGTGCAGTGAGTGGTCTGCCAGCATTTCCACTGGTGACAAAGTCACTTCCCGGTCCAGGTCACCTGCCTGCTTGAAGCTTCTGACTTGCTGCATCTTCCTGCATTCCTCCGTCCCTCTGCAGTGAGGAACACCAGCCTGGTGTTTCCCAGCTGACTCAGTTAATGACTGAAATTAGGAAAAATTAGCCTCCATACTCAGTGCCCTGGCTTTCAAATAACTGGCAAAGACGGCGTCAGGCTCCCTCAGAATCCCTGGCATTCCTTTGTGAGATCCTGTCCTGTGAGACACGGGCTTATGTTTAGAGTTACTGCTGAGGTGAAGAACTTCTTGCTGAGAGTGAGGTAGGCCTTTTGAACAGCTTTCATTGGCACCAGGTTAATGCATGTGTCTGTGTTAATCAGTAGTAACCTGGGGAAAAGGATTGTGATTACAGGTAGGGGAAATTAATAGGCTTTATTTGGACCCTTGGCCATGGGCTTACCAGCTCCTGATGAAGAATTACGTGACTAAAGAAAATGCCATGGTGGTTGTTTGAGTATTTGAAGAATTTTTGGATCTCCATATCCCTTTATGCTTTTTGAAATAGTTTTTAGATAAACTGCAAATCTAGCATTATAACTGGGTATTGGGGTGTATGAATCTCAAGCTGTATTTGTTATTTTTAAATTTAATTTAAACTAATACATCTTGAATGCCTAGTTTTGCATAAATGTTTTCCTTATATCCAGTTTTTAACATTAGCAAGCATCAGGCTAGTTTTGTAGCCAGCCAACAGAACATGCTTGGATGTGTGTACTGAGCTAAATTTGCTTAGGTACAATATGTGTAAGCCATGTCTTGCAACTGACTGTGAAAGTTCTATATATATAGGAACTCCCCCCACCCCAGTCCCACACCTCCCCCGCCTTTTTTAAAATTAGATCCCATATAAAAGTAATTAATTATCTTATGAATATTTTGTGACCATTCCAATGTTGCCTCCTGTTTATTCTTTGCAAGTGCAAATGAGCTAGATAGGGAAATGAATAAACATGGACAACTGCTTCTGAAACAAAACACTACAGAATTTGTGAGAGTTAAGAGGCTTGAATAACCTGAACAATTAGCCCACAGAGGACACAGTTAATAGGAATGTTCTGTCACAGTCAGATGATACTTGTTCCAGATGCTTGTTTGCCATTTAATCTAGTTTTTTGTTGTTGTTGTTATTCAAAGGCCAGAACTTGTTGAAATTATCTGGGAGTGATTTTGATCCACCCATCTTGAGATTGTTTTCTTGTGAATGAGGCATTTTAACTGGCTAGCAGTGAAGTTGTAGCATGAATGGTGGAAACCACACCACCACTATTTCAGTCTCTGAGAAGCCAGAAGGAAGGGACTCTGTGTGGGTGTATGTCTGTGTGACTGGGTATTTGTGCATGGGTGCATGTGTGGAAAAGCAAGAGATAGATTAATGTGCTTGATTATAGTTTCATTTAACTTGCTTTGCCACTTTATTCAGGACTAACCATTTTTGTGGAAGATACACAATAAGAAGTGATATTAGTAACAGCAACCGCTGCCAAGAAGGTTTCTGTTTTTTAGGGATCTGAGTTGTGACTGGGAAGGAAGTGAAAAACTTGATCAGTATTTGCTGTCCTCTTCCTGCTCGAAGGGAGCTGAGACAGACAGAGCTCTCAATCATGTGTCAGGCACCAGCATTACGAGTTTGCCAACTAAGCCTTTCTGAACTTAATCAATAGCCTGACAGTTTAGAGAGTGAACAGCTATTTCTGCTACTGGAGGAGGACTTTTGAGAAGTGTTTATGAGAGCTGCTAACAGCTAATTTACAAACTGTGGGTTTCTTATTTGAGATTGCTGTACTATAACATCTGTTCAAGTGTCTTTCTTCTCCAGTACCAAACACAACAGGCAAAAAATGTGGCTGAGCTGCAGCTGAGTTCAGTGGAAGAGCCATGAGACAGGCTCTGCTTAAATGAAGGCCTCACAAGGGCAGTGAGCAATGTGTAAACCCCACACTGACCTTCCTTCTGCATGGTGGGGAGGATTTGCCAGTTTACCACTTCCTTTATCTGCAAATAGTTTCGACTATCTCAGCAGGTCTGTCAGAGGTTAGAAAGCAGTTGGGTGAGAGCAGTGTTTACCTCTTAAAGCAGAAATTACAGGCTCTGAAGTGCCACAAAAGCTCTCAGAATATAGGGCCTTTTTGCCAAAGAGTCAGAAATTCTCTGAGTTTGTTTATGGAGTTTAAGGCTGGGAAGGATGGGAGATTATTCCTTTCTTTCTCTAGTTCCTGGCCTTTGACCAGTGAATTCCTTTATCACCACTGTGCCAAAAATGGAGTGGGCTGTGAATCCTCCCTGGTCCTCCCAATCAGCACAAGAAGGCATTGAATGGGCATTGGTGATGCTGTCATGTACAGTCTGCATGGCTTTTATTCTGTTACCAGTAATTGAAAGGTCAACCAAATTCTTCTTGGGCAATTAAGTGACATTTACAGATAGGAGGTCGCAAGGAGCCAGAGATGTTTTTCCAGCTGCTGCTGCTGCAAATGCAGTGCCCAGCTAGTCTGGTAAGTCACCACTGCTAAG